TCCTGTATTAAATACATCCCTTGTAAACTCTGACTACAACAGTAACTTTACCATTCTGGGAAGAATGTAAAAATTGTTTTCAGACAACTTAGTTCTGTTGGAACGTTACAAATTTGGTGCAAGGGTACCTCAAACAGACCAATTTTAAAGATTCTTTATACTAGAGACATTTTAAAGTCAAAAATTTTTTTTATTAATCATTGTTGATTGAAAAGATTAACCTATACAATCCGGTTACACAACCCAGGCTGGGTAAAAACTAAGTGGGTGGGTAGTTCTCAGAACAGTTGGCAACCTGACTCCTACTCAGCAGAATATAATTCACCAAAAACACTATTTCCTTCCAGAAGGAGGTCGTCAATTACAGCAAACAGAAAGGGCCTGCTTGGATCACATTTATTCATTTTCCTTTCAGAGCGGGTGGCTGAGTGCAGGAGTAGGAAGATTTTCAGAATGTTTAATAAATCTCGAATTTTGAACCAGGTACAGGTGGCCCATTGTGTAAAACAAAGGCCAAGCTGAAGATAGATCTCCAGAATTCCTGCAGTCTCACAATAGCCATACATTTTTGTCATGTACGAAAACTAAAGAAAACATTCACCTCTCTACTTACGCCTGCCATCTGATTTGAGGAAATGCCAGGGGTCTTTTCATAAATGGTTAGTGTTTCCCAGAAACATTTCAGATGAGTTCAGAAGCAAGCGGCCCGGATTTTGCACATGCTCTCCAACTTTGCTGTTTTGGGGATGTTTGAATGATGGAAGGCCGGTCTTCAGGGCCTGGGTGTAACTGTCAAGAAAGTCACTGCGGCGCCCAGGCAGGCTCTGAGTTTCTGTCTTCCGTTCCATCCCATTCCGTTCATTCCATTCTTTTCAATTTTTTTTTCTTTTTGAGACAGCGTTCCACTATGCTGGCCTTGAACTCACTTTCTAGCCGAGGCTGGGCTCAAACTCAGTGATCCTCCTGCCTCGGCCCTGGGCGCTGGGACTACAGGCGTGCGCCACCACGCCCGGCCTTCCATCCCATTCCGTCTTCGTCACCACTCACATCAGCGGGAGCACCCTCTTCGGAGCCCCAGGCAGAGCTCCTGGGGTCCAGGTCAGGAGCAAAGCTCCTGGGATGGGGGCAGCAGCCCCTCGCCTACAGGTCCAGGCAGTTTTGGCAATAGCAGAAAAGGAGAGAAGTCGGGGCTTCTGGACAACTTGGGAGACAAGGGCTCTCAGGAGCTGGAGCTGGGTGTGTGGGATACAATCAGGTCCCACTTGTCATCCCTACTGGTTTGCATCCCTTTGTCGTATGACTGCTTGATGTTTACCACTGCCCTGAGCTGAGGAAGTCATGGAGGGAAAGTGAGGGGGAGAGTGATTTCAGGGGGAGCAGCACCCCTAAAGGACAGTATGAGTCTCCTCACACTTTCCCAGGGCTGGATCCCAAGTCTTTTGAGGCTTTGTACCTATTTCATAGTTTTACTGTCTTCTTCAAATAGCTGTAAGGTGAGCTATGGCTTCTGCCTTAAGTATAATGGTAGTGTTTTCCTAGAAGCAATTCAGGTGCACTAAAACTATCACTGGGCTTCATTTTTCTTAAAATATAGTTTCCTGATTAATAATAAACTAATTTTTTTTGAGACAGGGTTCTGCTATGCAGTTCGGGCTGGCCTCAGACTCGCAGCAATCCTCCTGCCTCAGCCTCCTGAGTGATGGAATTACACCACCCCTGGCCAATAAACTAGACTTTTAGGTTAGAAAATGCATTAAAATTGATAACTCTGCTTAAATACTTTAACTTTTGCCATTTCCTCGTCCAAGGGGATTTTATTAAAACCATATAAAAAATGTTAGCCGATGCCAGTCACAGCAGGCTTTGAGAAAATCTGGATCACACAATTGGAGCTTACCAGTCCAATTCTTTAAGTACAGGGTGACCAAAATTGCCTATTTTCATTAACTTTTGTAACAGAAAACAGAAAATGGTAATTTAATCAAATTTGTTCAATACAAGAACCAGCTGGCTGAAATGACCCCCGCCCGAGCAGTGCTCAGCAGTCAGTATGGAAAGAACGCGAGGCCCGGGTGCCGCTCGGGGAAACCCACGGCCAGTGAAGGGCCAGCAGCTCACGGTGGGATGAGCCGAGACTGCCTGCCCGGCTGGATTTCTAGGCTTGGCGGGATCCAGAGGGACTGTACCGAGGGGCTCGGACCAACTTACCGGTTTCCCAGCGGTTGGCATATTCTCGTCACCCTTTAGTTACAAGGGTGTATCTTGCTGCAGTTCTCCCCAGGACGGACCTCAAGGTCGGGTGAGAGGTTTGGAAAGACCTCACCTTCCTGGCTGTTGGTACCACAGTGCAGCCCAAGTGCGAACTTCCTAACCCGAAGAGCGAGGGCCAAGGCTGGACAGCGCCTCCACTCAGGGGGCGTTTCTCAAAATGAGAGGGATGGTTTCCTTCGGCGGCTTGTCTAAGCTGAGGCCCCTCCCGCTGAGCTACATCTCGGTCCTTTTCATGGAGGGTCTTACTAAGTCGCCCAGGCTTGGCTGGAACTTGGGATCCTCCTGCCTCGGCTTCCCGAGTGCTGGGGTTACAGATGGCAGCACCACACCTAGCTTGGATACATCTTATTTGCAGCACCAAGTACATGAATGCTACGCTTCCCCGACTCAGTGAACTGCTCCGGGTGCTGTCACCCTTCCAGGACCAGGAAACCCGTGTCCCCACCAGCGGAGGTCATGTGCTTTACTCAGCACTGTACCACGCAAGCCGGACGGCTCTGGTCTGGTTTAGCGTCACTTTCTGTGAAATGACTTCCCAAATTCACTTCCACCTCTTCCAGCACGTGCACAGCCAACAGCAAATACAGTGTCAGTGCTGCATGTGCAGCGCAGGCCTTACAACAGCCCCGTGCGGCAGGGGCTCCCTCCCGAGGGGCGCACGCAGGGGACAGGCCTTTCCCGCTCTCTCGTGTAGGGGCCTTGCGCTACACAGGTGCCGAAGACGTGCACGGGGCGGAGGTCCTGCCGACTCGGGTGCGGTGTGCAGAACCACCAGCCCTCGTGTATTGGTCCAAGTCAACGTCTTCTCTAGATAGGGACAAGCTGCTGTTTTTAGGGGAGAAGTACCTGGTACTCACAGGCCATGTGATAGGGGGCGGCGGCGTTTCCTAACACCTGTGTCACACCAGGTTAGAAGTGCGGCCACATAAGCCAATCACACTTCGGTGCCGCCTTCTCTGACTGCAAAACTCAGTGTTTATTTCCCACTCTCTAGTTCCTTTGTCAATACCGAGAATGACCACAGTACTTGTCCCCGAAGCAACAGAACTTACGCAAGGACGGTTCACATTGGATGCACCTGGCTTGTACTCTAAGCTCATTTCAACCCTATGTTAAGTGCGGTGCATATGGCCATGCCCAACGCACATACACAGGCTACTAGGGCAAGCAGAAGGGAGGTGAGCGGAGTACCTGACAGTCTTGGGACTTTTGTAGCCTTTTACTCACAAGTCAGCTAACTACAGCTAGCCCAGTTTTACTGGGACAGACTTTCCTAAATGTTCAATACTGTCTGCAGCTACTTTTGTGCTACAAAAGGACACACTCTAGCCTACAAAGCTTGGCTGTTAGGCTGCAATTCATTGCTTCTTACCCATTGTCTTTGGGGAACTAAATTTTAACCCACAGCAAATGATTCTATTGTTTTTAGAGACAGGGTCTTGCTATGCATCCCAGGCTGGCCTCAGACTCACACTGATCTTCCTGCCTCGGCCTCCCAAACGATGGGATTATGGGCATGTGCCACCACGCCTGACAGATGGCACTGTTCTTGATTACCATTACAAGAAGCTAGGCAACAGGACAGAAATGCAAGCTCAATCAAATGAAAATACACAAAGACCTTCAGTCACAATGGAACACACTCATGAAGGCATTACATTCTGTGGCCCTAACTGGAATTGTGGAAAACCATTTTCGTACTGTTTAATGTAAAAATCTCCTTGTACCACTTTTAGATTCATTTCTAAGAAGCCAATAACTTCACTATGACTCTTCTGCACAGTGCCTGTATTTACTTATTCATTACTACACACAACAAGCGCACAATGAGGCCAAATATTATGTGGCACGCAATGCATGAAAAAGCGGGGCCAGGAGAGCTCACGACGGCTTCAGGGCTAACCTGTCCCCCAGGGAAGTTCTCAGTGCTGCAAATGAAACTCCAGCCTACTCTCAAGTTGATGAGTGCCTACCTCGCAGATCATTAACTTTCTTCTTCTAAAATACGCAGTGACTAGAGAGCGGGATGTCTGGCTTCCGAACGGAACACTCCTTGCGGTAAGGAGGAAAGAGCAGTGACCACCCGGCGCGGAAGCTGCAGCAGGTTTAAAAATGGGTGATGCTGATGAGAAAGGCAGCAAGATTTTTGTACAGTGTGCCCAGTGCCACACTGCTCAGAAGGGAGGCAAGCGCAAGACACGGCCACATCTCCATGGTCTCTTTGGGAGGATGACAGGTCAGGCTGCTGCATTCTCTTACACACATACCAACAAGAACAAAGGTATCACCTGGGGAGAGGATACACCAATGCAGTATTTGGAGAATCCCAAGAAGTATATCCCTGGAACAGAAATGACCTCGGTAGGGGCTGGGGATTTAGCTCAGCGGCACAGGGCCTGCCTGGCAAGTGCAAGGTCATGAGTTCGATTCCTGGTACCAGAAAAAAAACCAAAAAAACAAAAAAATGATCTTGGCTGGCATCAAGAAGGGAGAAAGGGCAGACTTAATTGCTAACCTCAAAAAGGCTACCCATGAGTAATAGTCACTGCCTTATTTATTACAGAACAGAAATGTCTCATGGCTTTTTTATGTGTACCATAATTTAATAGATCTCATACACCAGAATTCAGATCATGAGTGGCCTAACAGAATATTTTTGTTGGACAGTCCTGATTTAAGTAAAATTGGCTTGTCGTGAAACGGTTATCTTTTTTCCCCAAGTTTTGATAGTAATTTCAGTTCCCTTTCCAAATATGTTTGGATTTGATTAGTAATGTTTGACTTTTCACAAAGATTGAGAATGTCATCTCAAAATTTACTGAAGGTTGGATGTATATTTAGATTTATATAACTGGTTCTGTGAATGTTTAAATATGGGGAAATCCCTTATTGTCTCAAAACCAAGCAAGACTCCTGTTTAAGTTTGTGTTTATGAGCCTGTCAAAGGGAGTGGTTGAAGACAAGAAAGCAACGTCTGTATTTTTGGTCTTGACTTTGCCAATTTAATTAGAATTCCCTGCATCTAAAAAAGTGCTGCCTTTTACTAACAGAAAGGCATTTTATGTGGTGCATGTGTAATAAAGAATATAGAATATTTAACATTTCTTACAAAAAACAAAAGAACAAAAACGCAGTGACTACACTTTCAGGGTTAAGAACCTGCTTAGGAAAATGAAACAAGGTCACCTGGCCATTGTTCCTTTGTAGCAAAGAGGGATAAGAGACCTATTCTGTGAAGCAAGAGACAGAAAATTATTTGATGCAACAAAACTCCGGAGCAGAACAAAGGGTAATGAAGTGAAACACTCAGCCCGCACCTTCACCTTTCAGATGGCCTCTTCCTACCTCCAAAAGGTGATCGTTGCAGATAATCAGATCACAAAGTAATTACCAGACTGTGAACACACAGAACCCCCTTAGGTCTTAAGAGACCATATATATATACCTTTTAGATAATTTGGCTCTAAATTTATAGCTCTTAAAAGAACTCCAGATTCAGCTATGCTAAAGGGTTCTAATACTTGTGCATGTTAACTTTCAAAAAAACTGTCAGAAAATGTAAGTGCCACACACATTTATTTCCTTCCAGAAATAGCTGGGATTCACACATATAGCATTACTTGCTGACAACAGGCCACTGACTGTGGTACAAAAGCTAAGGGGGAAAAACCCCGTAAATTTTCACCTTGCGTAGACAGAACAAGGTCTTACAAATGTTTCTCTGGGCAATTACAAAGAATTGTTCACGGAACATCATGTACAGTAAGTCCTGAAGCCTGGATTTCAAGAGCACATCACGCCAGCAGCCTTTAATGCCAACCTCCCTTACTAACCAATTCCAAATACACTTACACTTTCTACTCCCATTAGAGAGGAGGGAGCCACACTGCACTTGACCGGAGTGCACTCACCTGACTTCCTCCTGGGTCTCGGTCCTCCTCCAGGTACATCCTGACCGCCCGGCGAGCCCTGGGCTGGAAGGAAGGCGGTCTGGCTCCCGAGTGCTGACACAGTGCTCCGTAACCACTAGGTTCTACGGAAAACCCACGCATTTCCTGACCGCTTCTCCACCGGAACTAGTAATGTGTGCTGTACTTTTCACATTTCTGCAAGTGTAGGAATAAATGGCAAGACCTGTACTAGTCCAGGTGAGAAACATCAGTACCTGCATTAGCTTTTTAGACTCTATAAGCAAAAGGAGACAAGGGTTGCCTAGACACGTTTTTACTCCAATTTCCACTTTCCCTCCCACAGGAAAACAGGGTATGAAGCAGCTCCAGACCCTGCCACACCCCTTGCAGGAGTCCCGCAGGCTCCCACAGAAGCAAAGAGCTTCACTGCTGGTGCAGCCTCCACACGGACCCCGTGCGCCACAGGCTGAGACGGAGCGGGAGGGTGTCTGCTAACATGCGAACCGCCTGAACACAATCCAGTCTACTTTTCACTCCATTTCAGGTTTCGTTTAATAAAGTAATGCAAATCATTTAAAGAAAAAAACCTTTAATTTTAAATTCTGGTCTATGCATAAAATTCATTTTTATATCACGGTTAAATTTAGTACAAACTATAAAAATGTTAACACTGAAGTTTTCAACAGAAATCTATTAAGATCCCTTAGAAAAATTACTTAAAGAAACAACAGCAAGTCATTTACTGCTATGAGGTTAATACATAAAGAAAGAACATTCACACACTTTACTGAAATTTTCAGTAAATAATTTCAGCCATAATTCTTACTGCAAAATTAAAAGCTCAAAGGTGGTGTGTGGCTCTAAGCAATTACAATTTGCAATGGAAACAGTAAGCCAAATCTTTTTGCTCTACCCAGAACAATCCTAGTTCGAAACAAAACAGAACAGAACAACTATTGGTTGAAATTTGTAAACCTCAGAAGCATACCAACTGTGACTGGAACAGGTGCGTCATAACTTAGCTTAAATTAGTGGGACGCCAGTAAAAACCGGTTGCTTTTAAGGTTGAATTGCACAATGAAAGCACGTGAAGAAAACATCCAGAACCACAGCCATTACTTTAAGAAACAGGAGATCGTCCTCAGAGGAAACATTAAATGAATCAAAGCCAGACAGTACTGCGTTTTTACACAAGCTTCTTTTGTATTTCATGTTGTTTATTGAGGCGTGAACGAGAGACTACTGCCAGACATGCCAACGACACTTCACATTCACGGGCTGGAGGCCGGGAAGCCTCACCGAGTCACCGCGTAAGCCTTTTGGGGAGGAGAACCAAAGTAACGGCAAACGTGACATCCTCATGCTCGCTGTCTGGCATCAGTTTTGCTTTTCCACTTCTGCATCTACTGGTTTGCCGGGCAGACAGTGTCCTCCTACCCCATAAACAGACTCACACTCCAACAGAAGGAACACTAGGTGTATGGTGATTTGTTGGAACACACCCCTACACCGAGATGGCAAAGCTGTCTATCCTCGTTTTCCTTATGTCTCATGAGAAAAATTCGTTTTTCCCTTTTCCCTTCACAGGAGTGTGATATCCCAATAGAAAAATACTCTTCAGTGCTACTTCAGGGCTTACAGGGCACTCCGCCAGTGGTGTGAAAGAAACCCTTCGCAACTCCACCGCGCACCAGGCTGCTCTTCCTGCTGGTGGCTCTCCAGGAGAATGGCCTACACACAACACTACTGCTGCTCTCTTGCTCAAAAACAAAACAAAGAAACCTAAACAAAAGGGTAAACGTTTATTTGGAGTTAGTTTTCTGGTGGGTGATATTAAGGCCCTTCACGCAGAGTTCAGGAGCTCCTGTATGGCCGCCTGCTGCTCGGGACTGAGCTGTGATATGCATTCAGTCCACAATCCTCCAGAAGTCTAAGGGAAAAAAAAAATCATACAGCTTTGGATAGGGTGATCACCTGGAAGGATTTCAGTAACTATCACACAGACTATAATAACAGTATACTATTATACTATTGTAAAAGCAATACTATTGTAAAAGCAAGACATCTGGCAATTTCTTCCACTTTTTTTTCATTTACAGAAAAATTTTCTTCATTTTTCCTGGATAAAGCTATAGTAGTAAATGATACCTTCAAGTAACCTATATACTACACAAATTCAGGGGGTAAAAATCTTTTAAATTTTGGGTTTGATAACATTAAACTGCATCTTTTTCATTCACATATACATACGAGCATATGTTAACCACCAACTAAAGGCTTAAATGTCTGAAATTTAAGGTGAAGATTTTAGATCTAATAATTAAGGAAAACATACGAACAGATTATATTAAATACAATCCATTTGATGTCTGGAGACAAGGATATAAAAATGAAATCTCCTTAGCTCATTAGTTTTTAAAATATAAAATGGGGGGGGCTAGAAAAGCGAAGTTTTATTTCCTTTTTCCTAATTCAACCAAATCAGCTTACCTGTACCTGGCGAACTACATTAGCCAAACGTTTGGCACACGGATCTTCATGTTTAATGGCCTCATGTATTTCTCCTTCTGCAATTATGCTGAATATTTTGGGCAGATTGGTGTTGTTTGGGCCAAGAACAATTGGGTGATTACTGACAAAAGAAAAAAAAACCTTTTAAAATGAAGTTTCTAAGGAGCAACCCCTCAAGCTCTCATATTATCACATCCTGGCATGTTCATGAAAATCAACTGTCTTTCAAATTCAGCAGGAAGAGCCGGACGCACACGCCTGTAAAGTCAACACTCGGGAGGCTGAGGCAGGAGGATCGCTGTGAGTTCCAGACCAGCCTGAGCTACAAAGTGAGCTCAAGGCCAGCCAGAACAGCATAGTGAGACCCTGTCTCAAAACGACCAAAAACAAACAAACAAATAAATAAATTCAACAGGAAGACAACCCACTGATTTCACATACATTAGCTCTTCAATTTCTTCCTCTGTAACTCAGGAAAAATAATCTCTCAGGGTTATTTTAAAGGCTAAACAACAATGCAGCCATGCGTGGCACTGCACAACTCTAATCCCAATACTCAGGAGGCCGATGCAAGAGGACTGCTGTTGTGTTCAAGGCCAGTCTGGGCTACACAGTGAGACCCTGTCTCAAAAAAACACCCCTCCCCCGAAAAAACCCCAACAGAATGCACTATTGTATAAATAATTTGTTATGCACTAAAAAACAAGGGAGAGCCAGAAGTGGTGGTACATGCTGGTGATCTCAGCACTCCGGAGGCTGAGGTAGGAGGATTGCCGAGAGTTCAAGGTTAGCCTGGGCTACAAAGCGAGTTCAAGGCCAGCCTGAACTGCATAGTGAGACCCTGTCTCAAAAAAAAGAGTAAATTTCTTAATTTAATTCTTTTATGCTTAGTGTTCCATTTTTGGAATTTCCCTAACAACAGAACATAGTAAAATTTCTCTTCAGATTCTTGTTCCTTGAAGTTTTTTAGGTAACATTATATGAATTTCATGCAAAAATTCAAAAATTTGCTATCATTGGAATAAATGGGCTAAACTGTTTTCTTTCTTTCTTTTTTTTGTTTTTGAGACAGGGTCTTGCTGTATAGTTCAGCCTGGCCTTGAGTTCACTATGTAGCCCAGGCTAACCTTGAACTCTCGGCAATCCTCCTGCCTCAGCCTCCCCAGTGCTGGGATTACTGGTGTTTGCCACCATGCCCGGCCAATTTCTAAATAAAGCCTGGAGTTCAAAAAGATTCTATGGGGGTGTTAGGATTAAGCCAGGAAATAAAGTCCAGGCAGATTTAACAAAAAGAGGCCTAATCGTGAAACAGAATTCTAGTCTTTGTTATGGACAGAGTCTTTGTCAGGGATACAACTTAGGGGCCTTAGGGGCAGTCATGTGGCCTGTCTGACAAGCGCTCATTTGGATGCGCAGGCACGGGTGGCATGGGTATAGCCAGCGCAGGCCATCACATTCCTCACTGAGTCTGCTAAACTCCAGGGAGTGGAGCACTTGGATTAACTCCTGAGCTAAAAATACTAGCTAACAGTGAGTGATAAAACCAGGAGTGAGCTAATATTTCAGGAAATATGGACTAAGAAAAACAGACCCAAAGAATATGGCTTTAATCTGGAAGTTTCTACAGCCGCCGCATGCTGCAATTCTCATGCAGTGGGTGAGGAAACACTACTGCAACATTATTTTCGCAAGTGCCTCATGTGGAGTTTCATTCTATGAAGAACTGGGTGTGGCGGTGCTTGCCTGCAATCAGGAGTCTGAGGCAGGAGAATCACTGAGAATTCCAAGCCAGCCTGGGCTACATAGTGAACTCAAGGTCAGTTTGAACTACACACTGAGACCCTGTCTCAAAAAAATACGTAAAACCATAAAGAACAACTCAAAATTAGTTGTTATAAAGGCAAAATCTCAACCACGGGGCCGGGGATTTAGCTCAGCCACACAGCGTCTGCCCGGCAAGCCCAAGGTCGTGAGTTTGATTCCCGGTACTGGAAAAATACAAAAACAAAAACAAAAAAAAACAAAATCTGAAAGATAATATGGTTTCTTACCATGACTACAAGGCAGTATTATTATAAAGCTACACAACTGAGGGCCTGCCCAGACACGGCAGGGTCCAGGCTCAAGAAACTGAACTTACGGGGGGAAGCAAAGGAGCACCGTTTCTGCGGAAGGGGCATGCAACACGGTCAGGCTGCCTCCTTACCTTTCGATCAGGTCGCAGAGATAACTGAAAGTCTGAACCGCTTCTTCTTTGTCTTCATGGAGAGGAAGCCAGGACAGCCAGTGCGGCAGGATCTCCTCGACGTTCACGCAGTCAGGCTTGAACTTCATAATTTTCCCTACTGCTGAGATGCAGTTCTCTGTAGCATTGACATTCTCTTTGGTCTTAGAATCTCCAGACTGAATAACTCTAACAAGCAGTGGAAGAGCTTCTAAAATAAACATTTTTTTAAAAAGTCAGTCAAACCTATTTTCCTGTAAATGAATATAAATTTTTTTTAACATAGATATCGTGACCTTTGGTCCACTTCTTGATTATGGTGAAAGCAAAGTGTAAGGAAAGGTCTGTGTTTCTAGCTTTATCATTACGAAGTGGTCACAAAGAGGACACCGGCCCAGCACGGCCAGGAGCGCAAGTGCTCTCAGAGACCCAGGGCAGCCAGCTCTAGGCTGACGCTGCTACCACCCAAGGGCACCGCAGCTTTAAAAGCTGCCTGTGGTTCCACCTAAGGCCTTGCAGTAAGTTACAATCCAGGCCTTTTAATTCCCCCCACTCCCCCGAGACAAGGTCTTCCTAAGCGGCTCAGGGTTTGAAAACCCCACACTAAGGCTGTGGTTTAAACCCCAAATGAAATGTGCCCTGCAAGGTTAGGATGGAGGAGGCTGAGTCCATTCACATTTCACTTCCATTTCTATGAGAATAAACATGAGAAATTCCTAGGTGCTAAGATGAGGAACAAAAATACAGTAAAAACAGGCAAATAATGTTAAGAGGCGTGGTGAAGAGAATGAGGCTGAGATTCAGAGGACACCCGGATGTCACGCGCGAGCTTGTGCAGTAAGCCAACACACCTGTACAGAAAGGGCGGTAGTTCTCGCCTCCATACTGCGCCATGACCCCCAGGCCGTACGCTGCCGCTTGCCTGACCTCCGGGCTGTTGTCACATACATACTGGAGCATGGGCCTTAGGAAGTACTCTGCATACTTAAATGAGGCTGGACTACAGTGCTCTATGACATCGTCAAAGATGCACAGTCCCCACTGTCTGTCTGGCCACGGTCTATGTGGACACTAGAAAACAAAAGATTCTCTTTTAAGCCGCAAGCTCTGGTATACACAGAGAGGATAAAGACAAGTGTGACGAATACTCAGTACAGCCTCAACAACAGAAACACAGCAACAACCTTTTGTTCTGACAATGTTATAAACTGATGCACAGACTTCATGAAGTTCATCAGGACTTGCATGTTTTGTTACAGAACTCCACAACGGGACACTGCCACACACCGGGAGGAACCGACACTAGCATAACGTGTACTGATTTTTAAAAGAGAAGAGACGGAGCCAGGGGCAGCAGTGTGTGCCAACGGTCCCAGCTAGCTGAGAGGCTGAGGCAGGACACTTGAGCCCAGGAGTCTGATGCCAGCCAGGGCAACACAGCAAAAATACAAGACAATGGTAAAGCCGTATTAGAAAAGGTAACAAAAGCTGAGAAGTGCTTGATTTCACAGCACTGATTCAACAGGCTAGGGCACGTGTGCCTAGATCTTTTTAACCCCTACCCAATATTCAATGGTAGCTGTTAATTTGCATTTTAAAAACATAAAGCAATTATATAATGTGTCAGTGTAGGTTCCACAACCGTAACTAAAGCACTGCTCTGGTGGGGAATGTGGATGGGGGCAGAGGTCTACGGAAAAATCCGTACTTTCCATTCAATTTGATTTAGAACCTAAACTATCCTAAAGCAAACCTATAAAGTATCTTAAAAAGTAAAATACATAAGGCCAGTATCCATATCCAATATCCAAATATACTAATAAAAGGATCGTAAATGAATTTGCTATGGTTCACTGAATAAAATGTAATCATTCTCTCTCCATGTTTTAATTTAATGTGGCATAATATGAAGTAATGAAAAATCATCTGTATGTCTTTAGAAAGCACTGTAACTGCTCTATGGAAAACCTAATTAGCAATCAAGAATATAATGAGAAAATACACACGGCAATAGACAATGTGATAATTAAAATCGTACAGTGAAGGGACGGGGGTATAGCTTAGCAGCACAGCGCCTGCCTGCCAAGTGTGAGCTCCTGAGTTTGATTCCTCGTTCCAATCAATCAATCAATCAATCATACAGTGAAGACTGTTATTTCTGAGGCCCATTTTAATCTTAAGTATAAGATTTTATATGTCACAACAAAGAATTCCAGGCCAAATATCCAAAATAACTGAGGGTAACCACTTACGATTAGATTGACAATTAGAGGAAGCAGCTGTTCAAACCACGGTAACACCTTTTCCTTGTAGCTACTGAATATCGAGTGTAAAATATCTGACACTTTGGTCAGTATATAAACATCATTATCATCCTAGAGAAAAAGAAAACACACACCCAGGTGAGTTCATAAGTATCTTCTCTATCACCAAGAGCAACATGTATAAAAGTCTCAAAAACCAGAGAATGAAATTTCTCTCTTCCCCCCTCAGGGTCAGATCAATTATCCAGAGATCGAAGTAACTTTAAAGATCAGGTGTCACATCTCTTACCTGTCTCTATGCACAAAAAAAAGTGTGTGACAAATTGAAGCACTTAAAAACTTTCCTTGGAACATACCTGAAAGTAGATGGATGGGAAACTACCCTCATTTGCTATTTATTTTTGGCAGAACGGCCCTCATTTTGAGGGGTGACAGGCGGCTGGGGCCGCAAGTGCTGGCTGTGTGCGCTGCAGCCCACCACAGGGTGGCACTGCAGGTGCCAGGCCCTCCACACGAGCGTCAGCCGTGCTGTGCAGTGGTGGCGAGGAACGGCCAAGACAGCCTTCCACTGCCAGCAGTGTCGCTGTGAGCAATCGTTTCACAGCAGTTTGAGGCCACTCATATTTAAGTGGTGAAGCACAAACAGCTGCATTTCAACCACGTGTAAATAAAACACCTGGTATTTTGAGTGCACACACAGCACGCAAAAGACAAATCAGTTTATTTCAAATTCTTCTGCAAATCAGGCTGGGTGTGGTGGTGCACGCCTGTAATCCCAGCACTTGGAAGGCTGAGGCAGGAGGACTGTAATGAGTTTGAGGCCAGCCTGGGCTACCTAGTGTGTCCAAGGCCAGCCTGAACACAGCAAGACCCTGTCTCAAAAAAAAAAAAAAAAAAAAAGAAAGGCAAAAGCAAATCAATAAATGAAATGTCAGGCTCTTCTGCTACATTACTGATAATTATATCAGAGTAACAAGTGAGTTAAGTTAGAAACTGAAGTGTTTAAAAATCCTGCAGATGAAAATGGTCACATAAATGAAGTTCTGAAGGGAATAATTTACCTCATCTTGTAGTGATTCTTCAACCTGTTCATCATAGTCTTCATCTTGTCTTTTAACTAAAACACACCCAAATAGATGTTTTTAAATGATCACCAAAAAGGTCAAGGATTTCACTCAGAAATAAAAGCACGGGACACTTACCTTGCCGCAATTCTTGATTTTTAAAGTGTTCTTCAAGTTTGGCTTTCAGGATCCCTCCCAGCTCCTCGAAGTGCTCGTTGTTAAGGCACCCGTCCCCCATGACTTCAATGCACTAGTGAGGAGGAAGGAAGAAGGCAGCTCGTAAGGTTTAATGGTTACCAGACCCAGGCGTTACTCCATTAGAAATCACAGGGAAGCCTGACAAAAAGGAACACTATTCAGGATCTGGGAAGGTGAATGCACAGCCATGCATTTAACCCGGAACTGTCAGAACGACAGCACCTGAGAGAAGAGTTAGAAACAATGCTTCCACTTCGCACATGTACTGGCCGCTACGTGGCAGGCATTTTGCTAGGTTCTGAGGGTGAAAGGTGGAAGAACATAAGCCAGCTCCCAAGAATCTCTGCGTGCAACATACAAAGACGTCACACCTGGAAAAAGGAGCACTGCAGATAGAGGGAAAGGCACAAAAGCACGCCTTCTTCGGAAACACAGCAGAGGTTCTCAATCGAGGGAATGTAAAGGAACCCTAACCTGAACCTTTTTTTTTTTTTTTTTGCAGGGTTTCTTTATGCAGTTCAGGGTGGCCAGGCTGGCCTCAAGCTCACAGTGATCCTCCTGCCTCAGTCTCCCAAGGGGTGGGATTACAGGTGTGTGCCACCAGGCCCAGCTCTAACTGTAACCTCTGAATTGAGCTTGGCACAAGACATGGAGCTGTGCGCAGCTGGGACAATACTGAGCCCGGAGAAGGAGGGACTAGATAACCAGTAAGTCCATGCTTGAGCCAAGGAGAACGAACTAGGAGGAAGGAGGAGAGGCTCTCGGGGCAGACCGAGTGAGGCTGTTTTCAATAGCACCAGAGAGTCGTCAGTGGGGAAAAAGTAAGAGAGGCATTCGGGAGAGTACACTGGACAGAGTCAGACTGGAAGCGAAGGCGGCACCTAGGTCTGTAGTGAGACTACTGGGAATGTAAGGGCAGAAGCCGGGCAGCCTATTTAGAATGTCTTCTGTGTTCCCAAAGAACACATGCCTCCAGGCCTCTGCCTGCTCCGTTCTGCCCGCCTGTCAGTGCTTCCAGGGCATTTACCCTTTCTCCAATGCCTACTCCTATACAAAAGTTACAACATGCCAAAAATTAAACATTTCCAATAAAAAATTATGCTCTAGCATATTAAAAAGCCCCTAACTTCACCCCTACTTTATTCAGCGTGACTAGCAAGTAAACACAACTCTACACATACTCGTTAGGAGACAGTCACCTTGGCAAACGAGTGCATGATTTCCGAGAGGACGTCCGAGTCTGGTTCTGTGCCAATGGCCTTGATCAGCGCGTCGCACATGAAATGCCACATCTGCGTGAGGTACTCAGGACCCCGCACTCTCGCACACTCCAGGAGAAGAGGCATGGACTCTGCCGCTGCCACTCGGACGCGTTGTGGTGCTAAGGAAATACGCCTATGAAGGGACCTCACCACACCTTTCTAGTATCCTTTCTCACCGTAAGTAACACCGCAGGGTGCTGGCAACTCTGTTTATCTAAAACAAGAGCCTGTAATAAACAGAGCGCATATAAAAACAGAAAAATTCCCCGTCCACACAACAGTAAGCTCTGCACTTGCTGACCCAAGACGTACGTGTCGTTTGTGTGTCTGGGCTCATTCCAGGAAGTCTAATTCAGAAGCAGGATTTCAGACCTTGTCTTTGTTTTGTCAGTGCCAAGATGACCCACAGTGTCACATAATTTAGGCAGAGCTCAGTGTTTATTTCTTAGAAAATTTAAGTATTTACTTTTGGGTTTTTTTTTGTTTGTTTGTTTTCTTATTTTGGAAACATTTTCATTACAGTATTACTGAATTTTTTTGTGTGTCACCTACAAAACAGCAGGATGGTGGCCAGGTGTGGTGGCGCACACCTGTAATCCCAGCACTTGGGAAGCTGAGGCAGGAGGATTGCTGTGAGTTCAAGGCCAGCCTGGGCTACAGTGAGTTCAAGACCAGCCTGAACTACACAGTGAAACCCAGTTTCAAAAACACAAAATAGTAACAATAAAAAATAAAAACAGCATGGATCCCGTAATGAAGGATGGACCCTTTATTACAGGATGTAACCTATATAGAGTAAGGACACGCGAGGACCTGTAGCTGTGGGAGTGTTTCCCAAGAGGTACCTACCCTGAAACTAGGTAATACGTGCTTCTCCAGGTTCCTTAGACTTCCTCTGTGCTATGCTAGCTTTACTGCTGTCAATGAAATTAAATTACCACTATCTAATCCTATTATAAAATAAGGTCTGGATAACTTCTTAAAAGCAAGTATGCTTTGCCTCCGGGACCACAGGAAGTCTGCCGGGCAAGCCATCTTTTGTACAGGGCACTATGGGAGAGATTAGAACAAAGAGACTTTGGCTTCGGTCTGGGTTTGAGTCTGAGCTCCACCCCTCCCTTGGCTGTCCTCACTCTACCCACCTCTGAAACCATGTGTGTGTAAGGGCATAAAAATGTAGCTGCACATAACCCTACCACCGAGTATAAAAACATGAACACGCAGGTTTACTGAGAGGCTTCTCCCAGAGCCACTGTCCACATCAGCAAGGTACGAGTCTCTGTTCTAGAAAGCTAGCTATCTGTGGGTCTTGAACCCACTCAGGAAATCTTCTTTTCCTACCATCATCGAAAGATACCTGGGGAAGGCAGCAACCATACACACCTGTAAACACTTGCCAGTAACACCCCTTCCAGTCCCGAAGCGGGCTATCAACACTGCCTGGTAACTGGGGGACAGTTCCCAATTTCTCCCTCATGTCTCTGGCACAGTCAAAGACATACGCAGAGAACCAGGTTAATAATCTGTAACTATAGTTACTGCAAACTAAATAATGGTGCCGAATACTTCAGTCAGCACAAAATCTAGTAACTGAAGAAGCCATAGGGCATTTTTTACGAAATCCAGAAATGTTCTGTGCTCAACTGCTGTAGGATATCATCGTGGAAGTAAAATTTCAGTAAAGGGACCATCAGCTTGACAACCTGTTCGGTATATTCCACAAAACCTTCCTTTAACTCCTTAGCATAGCAAACCTGAAACAAAAATATTGGGAAAGAAATCAGTAATCATGTTACAGCTTTTCTTTATTTTTTTTACAGTGCTGGGGCTCAATCCTGGGGGGCTGCACAAGCTAGGCAAGCATGAGAGCACTAAGCTACACCCACGTTAGTTTTTATGAATTATTTATTAGCAAACTGCAATATCTTTTGTTTTTTTGGCGGGGGGTACCAGGAATCGAGCTTAGGACCTTGTGCTTGCCAGGCAGCTGCTGTGCCGCTGAAATACATCCCCCGCCCCAACAGCAAAATCTTAAAGTCCACAAAACCTTGCATCTTGACTAGATCTATATTTAAACTCACACGTACAACCTGAAACTAATCTTAAAGTAACAAAAAGCTACAAGTGAGAAGGGCCATAAAATGACTGCGAGGTATATTATCATCCAAGGGCTGGACAGTGCATGTGTTTATTTCTATTTCTTGTGTGTGGGAAAATTTAGAAATATTATGTACTTTGAAAAATCTTCTGACAAAATGTATTAGTATAGTTTTTTTTCAAAAGTATTAAAACCTGAAAGCTTGAGTAAATGCAACCTAGCACTCCAAGAGGCCCTTCGGCCTCAGCCTAGCCAGCAGCTGGGACTAAACGTGTAGATCACTGGGCCGGGCTTATTTTGATTTCTTAAAAAAAAATCTTTTCAACAGTGAATGGGAAAAACTGTTCTGTCAATCTCTTCTACTACATCAAAAGATTGTGTCATTTCTTTGAAGATGTTATATTTGTATTTCTTCTCTAGAGAAAAAAACCCACAACAATCCAAAATGTTTATAAATCATAGGCAGTAAGTATTGAAGAACAGTTTAAGAAACACACACTTAAATGAATTAAGGAGAACACAGTAATACAATAATACATAATACAATTTAAGCCTCTTTTATCAAGACTAACCTAACTGCTAAATATGTAATATACTATACTTTCATAATTGTAACTTTAAAAAAATATCATCTTTCACTGCCTATAACACACGCTCAAAACACCACGAGATTGTCAACACTGTGATTTTCCCACCACACCCATGACTGTTACACAACTGAAATCACGGAAGTTTACCTTTGCTTATAATACCGCAAGTACATTTTTATCCATTTATTCAAAAGATAAACTTAGCTAACTACTATAGGTTGAGCATAAAAAAAGATAATCTTAGCCAAGTGGCATACCCCTATAGCCCCAGCACTAGGGTGGATGAGGCAGGGGGATTGCTGTGAGTTCAAGGTCAGCCTGGGCTACAAAATGAGTTCAAGGCCAGCTGGAACACCATAGTAAGACCCTGTCTCTAAAACAAAACAAAACAAAAAACACACAAAATTTTTTCCTTATAAAAGCTTATTCTCTAATCCCTTTGTAACACTTATATAATATTCCAGGACACAGTAATTTATCAATCATCTTCACTCAACTTACTATTTTTGATATTAACAACATCAGGAAAACCAGGAATGGTGGCAACATGCCTGTAATCCCAGTACTCTAGGAGGCTGAGGCAGGAGGATCCCAAGTGCCAGCGTAGCCTAAGCAACTCAGCATGACCTTTTCTCAAAATAAAAAATGGGGGTAGGGATATAGCTCAGTGTGAAAGTTCTGGGCTCAATCCCCAGTACTGCTGCAAATAATTTTAGTAAAAATTATAATTTCATACCAACATCTGGCAAGCAGTTGACTTTTCTTCCAGTCCTGCAGTTTTAATACCAAAACTCTGTTGGTCTCCAAGGTTCACAAATTCCCAGCCATCATCGTCACTCATGTTCTCCATGTCTTGGGCTATTTACACAAGAAAAATGCATATGAAAAATGCAGAGACACACAGTACAGCCCACATGTCCTTGCAAAGACACCTACTGTCTAAAAGGGCGACTTCAGGCTTGATCGAAGCCGTCTTCATTAAAGGCCCCATAACCACTGGAAGGTATTGCTGAAATTCTTTTCCAAGGATTTTGCACATCCTAGCCCATGCTGAGATCATGTAAGAGATCTGGGGAAAAATGTAAAATTAAAACAGATTTTAAAACAAGTAAGATGGGGTAAAGTCATTCCCCCATTTCATTTCATTGATAGCCTCATGGCCCCTTAGTAAGTGCATCTCCTAGGATCAGGTATGTAAAAGGGTCCAAATCAATAATCTCACCTCTGTGAACTCTACCCTGGGATAAAGACAGCAGGTGAAGCTGTCCTACTGTTGTCCTTCATGAAGCAATTAAAATTAGTTTCCTCTCTTAACACCTGCACTACCTAAATGAAGCCCAACACCTCAACTCCTGCGCACTAATTTTCAAAGGCAGGAACACATCTGGTACAACTCTATCCTTATTGCCCCACTAAACATTATTAAAAGTAAGGAAACAAATCCCGTCCTCTTAGCGGGTATAGTTTTTTGTGTAAGTGGCTAGATATAATTAAGATACCACTTATCTTACCACTGTGCTTATAGACTCAATCAACTGCAAATTACCCGTTGATAATGTGGTCCTAACTCATTATGTCTAGAACCCAGAAAGTGATCCCCCATATCTGCTTGTCTGTCTGCCTATTTACTGCATGTGCACAGGTACAATTTCCATTTCTTATTAAAGAAAGTTTAAAATTGTAAAAAACAAAGTGGTGTTTTGAGCGACTTAATTGTAAAAACAAAGTCGACTCATTCAACAAATATTTACTGGCTGTTTTCTACATGCAGGAGTACTGGATGCGCCGACACAAAGGTGAACCAAGCCGGTCCTTACTACTTTTATACCTCCTTACAGCGCGTAGTTCCCTCAGTGTCCCTAGCGTTAGCAGCCTGTGAAGTACCCTTCCTGCCTTGTACCTCAGTATATACAAAGATGCACATCACTTGCATACCACTTTGTAAAGGAAGTTAAAAAAAGAAAAATAAACATGCCTTCTTTGCAAAAAGGTATTTTCCTACTTAAGCTAAGGGAACATTACATTATAGCTATGTATAACAGAATTTTAACTCAAATTATTGAGTGCCTTGTTGTATGCTGGACAATGTAATGATCATTAAAATTATGCCAGATAAGTACAATGTTGCTGTGACACAGCTGTTGCCCTAAGCCTAACACCAAGAAAGTGAACAAGCCAGAACAGCCTCACAGAGAAGAGAACAGGAGCAGAAATCGCTCCGGCTTGTTTGTGTGTGTGTGGCGTCCTTCTTCCTTAAGGGGTTGTCTGTCTATGCATGGGCAGAGAACGGGCACGTGGCTTCTGAGACTGTGGTGTTTCTGTATTTCTTACAGCCAGGGGAGACGTCAATTTGCACTTAAACTGCAAGAGACACTCAAACGGAGACACTCAGCAGTTGGCCAGGAAACGAATCCTGAACTCTGTAGAAAGCTCTGCAAAGCCCAAGCATACAGAAGAAATGTGCAGCGAAGGCTGTGAAAGACACTGCCGGGCAAGAGTGGCAAGACGGGTGCCTAGGACACAGGCTGGAGACAACCACACCGAGAAGGGCGGGGAGCGCAAGCAGCCTGGTCACAGCCTGTCTCTGAGACCTCCAGGGAACAGTACCTCAAGAAAGCGATCACTCATTTTTCACAAGTGCATTTAACCTTGTGCTGCCCACAACCCATAGACGGGTCCAGACAACCACAGCAGGACTGCTCACCTGCGGATCGTCGTCTTCCATGTCACTGAAGTCTGTCTGGGTCTTTAACAACAGCTGCATCACATCTGACGCATCCTGCATGAACTAGAAGAGAACACGAAGGAAAGTAACCGGAATCGATAGTGTACAGCAGATCACAGATGTACTTGTGTGTTGCTTAACAAGAAAACAAAACAAAAAAACACTACATTTCCCACATGGCTAAAACTCAATAGCTACTTTTTTTTTTTTTTTTTTGGTCTTTTTGAGTCAGGGTCTTGCTATGTAGTTCAGGCTGCCCTTGAACTGACATGGATCCTCCTCCCTCAACTTCCCAAGTGCTGAGATTACAGACGTGTGTCACCATGCCGGGGTGAAACTATTATACTGAAAAACCTTCATTTATATTAAACAGACTGCCGGGCGTGGTGGCACATGCCTGTAGTCCCAGCACTCGGGAGGCTGAGGCAGGAGGATCATTGTGAGTTTGAGACCAGCCTGGACTACAAAGTGAGCTCAAGGCCAGCCTGAACTGTACAGCGGGACCCTGTCTCAAAAAAATCAAAGACAAAACAAAACAAAAAAATATATATATACATGTTAAACAGACTTTATAATAACCTTTGTAGAAAAATTTATTTTCTAATGAAGGTCAAAATGAACTGTAATAGAAAGAAGTTTGTAACAACATCAAGTTTTGATCTGCTTCAAGCAGAAAAAAATTCAAACATAGAAAGAAAATTTTGAGCTCCTCCATGCAATTCATGGCACAGAGATTTTATTTTGTATGATTTTCATTTAACTCTCCACAGTTCTGGCACTCTCCACTGTATTATCAAACCTGGCAGTGTTTCAAAGCCAGTATGAAAGCCAGATACACACAGCATGGGAAACACCAATGCCTGGTTGGCTAGCACGTGCCAGAAAGCAATTTAAAAGCTAAGTTAACACTGATGCTGGCTTTGGAGAGGCAAGACACAGGAATCCGTGCTGACAGCTCTGAGGGTCAGAACACGAAAGATCAAGGACACGGGAACTTATTCTGGCTCAGGCTGGATAGCTCTGAGATGCTGGCTGAGAAGCAGCACACTGGACAACAGGCCCTGCCAGTTACTTACTGAGAAGTTCTATGCACAAGGACTTCCCTCCCAGGACACCTGCTGCCCTTTAGCTATCAGCAAAGCACCTGGCACAGTTCTAAGCACAAGTAAGTACAACTACATATGCAAATACTGAACTGCACAGGCCTCTCCCGAGGCAGCTGGATGGTGTAAGGAAATGGGAAGGGGTGACAAGAGCATAACTGAGTGAAGGATCATTAATATTAATAATGAAAAAACACAGACCATTTACTTATATAGAAAACAGAAGTAGCCAGGCATGGTGGCACACGCCTGTAATCTTAGCACTCAAGAGGCTGAGGCAGGAGGGTTATGAGTTTGAGGTTAGTCTGAACTACACAGTGAGACCCTGTTTTTTTTTTTTTAAAAAAGGTAATGTTAAAGGAAAGATGAAGGCAAAAAATTCAGCACCCAGAAAACCATTTACTGGAGGGAAAAAACTCAGTATCCTTAATGCTGACATAGCCAAATTACATACAGGAAATTTAACAGAATACAGGTTTGCTTACTTTTTCCTTCCCAACTGCCAGACCAATGAGGCTGATACATTCAATAGTTTTCCCTCTCAGAAGTCTGAGTTCCTTCTGTACGGCATTTTCAACAATGTGCTTCAGTGACGGCATAAACAAATCATAGTAGGGGACAAATTTTTCTTCTGCAGTATCTGCAACTGATGCAATGGATGTCACAACTTGTTCCAAAACTAATTTGGTGCCTTTCTGAATCAACTAGAAGAAAATACAAAACAGGTTACTTAAATGAAAAAACTGCAAGAAATAGTTAAAATCTACCACTGTCTCCCAGTTTGGCAAGCTGAGAATACCTCTTCAGAAGCCAGGAGCAGAAGCTATAGGTTTTGGAAAAAACTTCTATAAAAATAATCTCCTCTTGGACTATTAATGTGGATTTTCTACTGTGTAAACATAGCATTTCTTACTCATGTTTGCTTATCTCAAAGTGCTGCTGCTTGTCCAGTTCAAATCTTGACTCCTTCCATTTTTTATATTCATAAAGCTTAATGCTTTATCTTTGTTCCTCAGTGATTTCTACCACTACTTAGGCTGTATCGTGGTGAACACTCCCTTTCAAGCCCAGTTCTTTAGAGTGGACCTTTGAGTTATGACTGGCCTCATATATGAACAACTTGCGTTATGACTGGAACCCGAGGTTTAACTTCTGACCAAAGTCTTGCATTATAACCCAAATGCCAGCTGTTTGTGCAGTTGTAAAGAGACTCGAGATGCCAGAAAAACATATGTAAGTATACATAAGCGCTGGTCTGAGCCCAGAAACACATGTTTGTGGACATGACTTCAGTTAGTGCTTTATGTAACTGCTGTGGTTACTGCTATCAAAATGGCCCCCCAAAAGCTACAAAGGCACTAAGGAAGGAAGGAAAGATAAAGAAAGCAATCACAATCAAAATGAGGGAAATTGTGGAGAAATATGAGAGAGACATCCATGTGACCTATCTCACATATGAACAGCATGTCGAAATCCACCATCTCGACAGTCTTACAGAGAAAAAGATTTATACAAAGAAACTGGTGTTGCTAAACTAAAGGTGTTACTCAAATTAGCAGGTCTTGATCAACACTGTTATATGAGGTGGAAAGGTTATTATTAGTGTGGATAAACAAAAGACAGCTGCTCAGCATGGCTGCACATGCCTGTAAGCCCAGTACTCAGTAGGGTGAGGCAGGAGGATCACTATGAGTTCAAAGTCAGCCTGCACTACATAGCAAGACCCTGTCAAAAAAACAAACAAAAAACCCCAGAAAGGCAAATGACAGGTTATAGCCTATCTGAGTTGATATGAAAAAGCTAGGGCTATAAATGCAGATGTTGTAAAGGATAATCCATCAATAAGTGATAATGGTGAAATGCTTTGTGCCAGGAAGGGGTGGTTTCACAATTTTTTTTGTGTGGGTACCGGGAAATGAGCTCAGGACCTCACGCTTACCAGGCAGGTGCTGTGCTGCTGACCTATATCCCTACCCCTGGTTTCACAATTTTAAAGGGAGAACTGGTGTTCATATTGTAACTAGGCATGATGAAGCAGCCTGTGCTGACACAAGGGCTGCCGAAAATTACATGCACCACTTTGAAAGGATGACACAGAGAAATGGCTTTTGCTCCTATCAAATTTTCACCTGTGATGAAACTGGCCTTTTCAGGGAGAAAATGCCAGGTCACAAGCTAGGAAGGACAGCCTAACCTCATTGCTATGTGCTAATGCGAGTGGTGATCTGAGATAAAACCTCTCAGTTTATCACTCTGAGATTCACAGAGTGTTCAGAAAACAAAGTCATGAAGAATAGGCGAGGGGTCATGTGGAGATCTAGTGCAAAAGTCTGGGTAACAAGAGCACTTTTTCTTGAGTGGATTGGAGAGACTTTCTGTCCTGTTAAGAAATATCTAGAGGACCAAGGTTTACCACTCAAGACTCTCATTACGGACAATCCTGCTCACCCTCGAGATCTGGAAGAATTGGCTGAAGAATTCCCATGGCTCTCAGCTGAGTTCCTCCCACCTAACACAACTCCTCTACTGCAGCCTACGGACCAGGAGGTTATAACTAACTTAGAAACTGTACACCAAGGAACTGTTCCTGAAACGCTCTCAGGTGGTGTCAGATACAGATTTAACCCTCAGATAGTTCTGGAAGGAACATTATAACATCCTTTCCTTACGGGGTTAATTCAGAAATCCTGGGCCAGTGTCTCTCTAAGGACACTGAGATCTGCCTAAAAGAAAGCATGGCCTATCTGGGGGCATCTCCTTAAGAAAGTGTGGCCAAAAATTATTCAGGAGAGAGACTTTGAAGGCTGTGTGGAGGAGCCCAAGCCTTCAATTGACCCTATGGTTGATGACACTGTCACTACAGCACAGTCCACAGGCTCGTAGGTAGACCGTGGAGATGTGGAGGAAACACTCAGAAGAAACATCTACAGAGGAACTTTAGCAGCTTCTGGCTGAGCAACAGAGAATGGCAGCTGAGGAGCTTTCTGAAGGGTGGAGGTGGTTATCAATAATCAGCGCAGCAAAGTTGTTCTCTTGAACTAAAAAAAAACCTGAAAGAAACGGACAGAGCTACAAACACTTGTAGAAAAGACCCATCCAGACAGAGAAAAAGCCAACTGCTGCATTCACTTGCTTAATCAATGTCACGTTGTCCATGGCCATACCACTCTGAATGCGCCCAATCTCATCTGATCTTGGAGCTGAGCAGGGTTGGGCCAGGTTAGTACTTGGAAGGGAGACAATGTCATGGCTCCCATCCAAGAGGCACGTAGTCTCCCATCCAACACTATACAACAGGGTTAAAGACAGAAACAGACAACTTAGACCAGTTTTTAGTTCTGAAAAGGTTGAGACCCAGAGAGCCAGAAGCAGGTCCCAGTGGGCTCCAGGCTCTCCCAAGGAGAAAAGGGACATCAAAGAGCCAGACTCTTGACGTTCTTATAGAAGGGGACTCTCCTTCCAAACAATAACTATCTTCCATTTCATTCTCCTTTCCTGCAAGCCAAAGATGCCAACTTGGATAGTGAGTACATTATGAAATCATTGTTTCTGGTAAACAAGGCACATTTTATAACTTTTTGGTGAATACACTAGGAAAATTATTGGTGTTTCTGGCAAATCACGCACATTATACAACCCTTTTTTAATACGAAAGGTTTACCTAAGGGGTGCTTTGGGAGGTTCGGAATGCATTATGGGTATTGCCATTATTTCTCAGGGGAAAAACAGGGTTGACTTACGACCAACTTGACTTACAAGCAGCCCTCATGAGTGAATTGCGTTCTTAAGTCAAGGGCCCAATCCAACACTCTCCAGAAGTTCTCAATAAGGAACCCTGTTCTCCCCACACCTTCTTCTCCTTTATGACAAAGTGGAGGTGATGACCCATTTCCCTGCCCCGAGGTCCTACAGGGTTCTCTAGGCTGGCTGGTGATGAATGCCTCCTGACTATCAGACCCAGGCCCAGGCTGTCACTTGGCAAGATTCTAAACAATCCCTCCCTGATTCACACGAGTATCTAAGCCCCTGTAACTACTCCAGGTTTTCTTGAATTCCTCATATGGATGGCAAGCACACCCTCAGCTGAGCTCTTCACCTCGCATTACAATTTTACACTTTTTAAGAAGTTATCTTTTTCTCTTAGTACAGGTTTGCGGTACATAATGAATACATTCACTGTGAGGAGTTGGAACATGTACGGGCCACATCTTAATTCTTTTTACCCTTGCATCTCTTGGTCCTCTGCTCACATGCAAAAGATCTATCTCCATGTTTCCTACTGTCTTTTACTTTGTTCTTTATCTTACCCTGACTATCAGACCCAGGCCCAGGCTGTCACTTGGGCCTGTTCCGCATCTCCGTATCTAGTCTGTGTTTAGTCCCAGCCTTGCTGGTGTCCACAGAAGGGTGCCCCTCCTTCTCTGCTAGGCCATGCTCTTTTCATGCAGCACTCAACACTGTCCCTTTTCTGTCTCTCAGGAAATCTTTTCTTCAGTCTTTAAAAAATGTAGGGGTGGGCACCACGCACCGGATGCAGGTGCCCACCCACGGACGTGTGTGACTCATTCAAACATGGAGAAACCGGGGCTGGGGATTTAGCTCAGCGGCAAAGCGCCTGCCTGGCAAGCGCAAGGTCATGAGTTCAGTTCTCGGTACCGGAGAAAAACCAAAAAAAAACAAACAAACATGGAGAAACCCCTGGGAATACATGCCACACAACGGGTCATTCTTGCTCCTGCCATTGAGAACCAGAAAGGTCCACAGTCAGCGGAGGAACAGCTGCTGAACAAGGACTCGGAGAACATGAGAATGCAGACTAAG